GGATTCTGCTCCTACAGAACCTAGCTGTGCATAGTGGAGAGTCATGGCTATTCTTTCAGAAAGCTCAAAGCATAAAGGAACTCTCTAGGGCTCCTGGGTATGCTATCTAGATGGAACCAGTCAGCAAAGGAAAGGTGGATTTCAGCTTTTGGGGTTTTCGAAGAAAAGTTTTGAGAACCAAGTACCTAGGGAGTCTGTGCTCTAGCCTGCCAGATAACCACAATTCTCCAAGAGGTTTGGCATCTGATGGTAAAGGGTGGCAGGGCTGGAGACATCTGAGCACTGAATAAATGGGTTATGACTTTGTGAGGACAGTACCACGACCTCTGGCCTTTCCTTGATTGAGTCTGGGGATAATCCAGGCTGAGGAGAGGGACATGCTAGTTTTTCAGGTTCAAGGGAAGTAAAGCCTGTGTCTGAGTAGGTGCAGATGAATAGTGGAAAGGAGGGTGTAATTCTAGATGAGGTTGGCCCACAGGATCTGGTGACAAATGGGGGTGAAGTGGCAGCTCACTGGACACAAGACCACTCCACTCTTCTGCCAGGGCCTGAAACCTTCAGGTCTTGCCTCATGAAGTCGCTACCCTAGGCATGATCTGTGCCTCTCCTTTTCCCAGTATCCTGGAAGGTGGTGGTGCTGCACTCCAGGAAAGCCCAGTGGATGGTTTGTTTGGATGGAAACACAGCCTCCCTGGGAGCTTTATTTGAATAGGTAGAAGGGGACTACTAAGGGGAGGAGCATGAGCCCCAAGCCTTTCTTTTCCCCCACCCCAAATCTCCTCTCAGAAACAGACCCACGTGAGTCAATAAACTCCCAATGTAGCCATTTTTCCATTATTTTCCCACTGATGAGCTAATGTGCTGTAAGAGCTGCCTCCAGCTGTGCACCTGGGCAGCTCCCATTGGCTGTTTCTGAGAGTGCACAGATCTGACAGGATACAACCTCATGTTAATTTTGTGATATCAAAGATGATTCATTAGGTTGACAGCAGTTTTACTGATTAATCTTATGCACGTCTTCTCTCTCCCTGTAGATTTGCTGGGAGCATTTATTTCTGCTATACTAGGAGCAAGATTGCAGGTGGGTCTCTGGGGCATTGGATATTGCAGACTCCATCTTCTAGGCCCTCCACACTAATTTCCTTCAAATGACACCAAGGGGGCCTTTTTGTTGCACACACACCATTGTTTTGACAAAATTTTTGCTTTTATTTCTCATCATTTATGTAAAAAGCTCTGGTTTGAGTTTGTTCAGACCTTTTGGGCAGGGAAATGATTTCCAAACTACTTCCAAATTGCTTCCACTCTGGGATCTCGCTGAGCCTGGCATTTTCTCCTCTGGACCAGGGACCCTCAATTCTTTTGTCAGTCAGAAAACAACACACAACACAGTGGCTATGAATCCCAACCCTCAGCACCAATAAGGGTGTTAACTTTTTTTTAATTAAAGCTGGGATTCTGAGGCATTAGTGTTTTGTGCATTGTTTTCTTAAATATTATTTTAAGTTGGGATTCTTCCTGAGACATTTGTTGATTTCTGTACCTTTGCTTCTCACTGTTGACCTGTATCATTTCTGTGTTGACTGGGCTAGAACAGCCAGCTACAAATAAAATTTTGGGTTGGCCTAAAAGTTCACTTGTTTTTTTCCCTAACATGACTCTAGTGGCACTTAGTTGTCTTATTTCAAAACAATATTGTTAGGTTGTATTGTGACAGCTGTCATATCAGCTTGCATTTTAAAAAAAACTTATCAAAACTGGTGAATTTTTGTGTAGCCATTTTAATATTGAAGATGGAAGAAAATACACAGCATTTTCAGCATTTTATGCTTTATTATTTCTTTTTTTTTAAAGTCCTGTTTTTGTTGTTGTTTTTTAAATTTATTTATTTATTTATTTATTTTTAGAGAGGGAAGGGGGGAAGAGAGAGAGAGAGGAGGAGGAGAGAGAGAGAGAGAGAGAGAGAGAGAGAGAGAGAGAGACATCAATGTGTGGTTGCTGGGGGTTATGGCCTGCAACCCAGGAATGTACCCTGGCTGGGAATCGAACCTGGGACACTGCTTTATTATTTCAAGGAAGGTAAAAACACAACTGAAATGCAAAGAAAGATTTGTGCAGTGTATAGAAAAGTTGTTGTGAATGATTGAAAGTGTCAACAGTGGTTTGTTAAGTTTTATGTTGGACATTTCTCACTGGATGCTCCATGGTTGAGTAGACCAATTGAAACTGATAGCAATCAAATTGAGACACTGACAACAATCAACATTATACCGCATGCAAGATAGCTGACAAATCCAAAATATCCAAATCAATAAAGTTATTGGTGAAAATGAAAACATGTGTTTTTCATGGAAAAAGTAAATGAACTTTTTGGCTAACCCAATACCATCATTTCTGAGTGGGAAATGTGAAAGTGTAACTTTATGAAAATGTTACTAACGGACTCCACAACTATTATTCTGGTGTATGATGTAGGCCAACCGTTGGAGGGGAAATAACCAGGAGGTAGAGGTGAATGTAAGTAAAGTTAAACCTAAAGGGCCTCACTGATGAAAAGAATGGAGCAAAGGAACTTCCCCAAGACAGGAAGGAGTTAGAAATGCCTCCCCTGGTGTGGAGGTCCCAGAGTCTGCCTCTCAACATGTCAGGTCTGCAGGAAAGTAGGGAGACAATTCTATTCCTAGCCTACTTTTAAGGATTCCATTCTGGTGTTCTGAGGGAACATAGAATCTGTGTTTAGTAAGTACATCCATGATGCTGGTACAGGTGCACCTCAGACCACCCTTTCAGAACCACTGTGCCAAGCTAAGGAGAGTGTTCAGGACTCAGGAAGTAGGAAATCCTGGTAGGCCCTTCCAAGGACTCATGAGCTGGACTTTCATTCATTCCAAACAGAATCACATCTGAGGTATTGTGTTAGGCAGGGAGGGTACAAAGGTACAGTATGTACTTTCTATCTCAGCCCTTGGGCTGTATTAGAAATAGAATATATATTTAGGACTTATAACAGTGTGATACATGCTCATACTGCTAAAGCCTCATGCTGTATTTTAAAAATATTATTTATGGAGCATGGGAGAAGCTACTATTCAAGTGAAAATTCAAGTGCCATACCTATGTTTTTAAAAATAGTCTTTAAAATGACTGAATGTCAGTGGAAGATAGGGATGTGGTATAGAGACTTCAGCAGGCATTTCCACCTGAATCTCAGTGCAGGGCCTTAAAATTTTGAGCAAGCCCTGTCTTTCCCACAGATAACTACTCTCCTTTTGAGAAACAGCTCTTGGCCTGCTACTGGGTCTGCAGAGATGAAACACTTATCCATGGACCACCAACTTACAATTTGACCAGTGCTGCCCATCATGAACCAGGTATTATCTGACTCACCAAGCCAGCAACATTCCAACATCAAATGGAAGTGGTATTGACATGATTGGGGCTAACCAGCCACTGAAGTTACAAGTTAGTTACATGAAAGGGTGGCCCACATGCCCACAGACCCCATTCCTGCTACTTGGCCTTCTCTCCCAACCTGCACCTATGGCCTCATGAGGAGTGCCTTATGATCAGTTGGCAGCAGAAGACTGAGGTCTGGTTTACAGATGCTGTACATGATATGCAAGTACTGCCCAAAAGTGGACAGCAGCAATACTGGTCCTTTCTGGGACATTCCTGAAGAAAAACCATGAAGGGAAAACACTCTAGTGGGCAGACTTTTGAGGAGTGTACCTGGTTGTTTACTTTGCTTGGAAGGAGAAATGGTCAGATATGTGATTGATTATATGCTGATTCATGAGCTATAGCTGGCATGGGACTTGGAAGGAATATGTTTGAATAACAAGTGACAAAGAAATTTGGGGAAGAGGTATGGTTATGTTGATAGACCTCTCTGAATGGGCAAAAAATGTCAATGTATTTCTCCCACGTAAATGCTCACCAAAGGGTGATCTCAGCAGAGGAGGATTTTAATAAACAAGATGATGGATGGTCCATTCTATGGACACTACTCAGCCTTTCCTCAGGCTTTCCTGTCAATGCCCAATGGGCCCATGAACAAATTGGCCATGGTGGCAGGAATGGAGTTTATGTATGGGATCAGCAATATAAACTTCTACTCATCAAGGCTGACCCAGCTATGGCCACCACTGAATGCCCCAACTGCCAGCAGCACATACCAACACTGAGTCACTGATATGGTACCATTTCCTGAGGTGATCAGTCAGATAGTGGGAGGCTGGTTACACAGGATTACTACTTCTGTTATGGAAGGAGCAGCATTTTGTCTTTTCTGGAACAAACACTTAATCAGATATGGATTTGCCTTCCCTGCATACAATGTTTCTGCCAAAACTATCACCCATGGTTTTGCAGAATACCTTCTTCACCATCATGTTATTTCACATAGCAGTGTTTCTGATCAAGAAAGCGATGTATACTTACTCACTTTACAGCAAAATAAGTGAAGCAATAGGCCCATGCTTGTGGAATTCACTAGTCTTCTCATGTTCCCCACCATCCTAAAGCAACTGGCTTGAAAGAATGGTGGAATAGCCTTTTGAAGACTAAGTTAGAGTGTAAGCTAGGTGATAATACTTTGTGGTGCAATCCACTGCATACTTGTCAAGGAAACTAGATCACACTGTCAGGGAAACTAGACCATACTGTGCAGGGGTGGCCAGCTTGCTTGAGAGCTGTGACAGCCACCTGTTAGCTCTTACAGGAAGCTGAAAATTTTGCTTGTGACAGCCTATCACTGTTTATGCATTATCAAGTATTGAACCTGCTGAAGAAAAAGGGAAATTTGTCAGTGCTGGAAGAATCGGCAGGTACCAAGCCATTCTTGACAATCCCATCTCCCTCAAAATGCTAAGTCCTGCCTCTCTTATCCCAGAGTCTGACTCAGCTGTGCTAATACATGACTGTACTGAGATAACTGATGATGTTTATTCCAGCAGAATTAATTTACAGAACCATCCTCTAGAAGCACCAGACTGGACTCTATATGCAGATGGAAGCAGTTATGTGGCTAAAGGAAATAAAGGCTAGGTATGCAGTTGTGATTCTTGAAGGAATCGTAGAGGTCAAGGCCTTGCTGCTGGGAACCTCTGCTCAGAAAGCTGAACTGATTGCATTGATGAGGGCACTGGAATTGTCGCATGAAAAAAGAGTGAATGTGTACACTGACTCAAGGTAAGCTTTCTTAATTTTGCATGCACATGGTCCAATCTGGAAGGGAAAAAGAACTATTAACCTCCAATAAAAAGGAGATTAAGCATGCAGCAGAAATTTTAAAATTATTAGAGGCTGTTCAGGTATGTTTACAGGTTGCAATTATGCACTGCCTGGGGCATCAGAAAGAGGACACTGAAATGACTATAGGAAACAATCTGGCTGAAGGAATGTTTATAATGCCTTTGGTATCTGTCTTGGACTTGTCACAATTTGACCCTGAACATTCTACTGCAGACTTAAGAGGAAGCTGAGAGCTGGGTTTTGATGAAGAAGGAGCTGATAGTGGATGGAGAAAGAGTAAGGAAAGAGTTATACTGCTTTCCTGAACATTCAGTAGAGCCAGTCATGAAGCATTTGCACCAGGCCACTCACTATGTAAGGGGCTCATTAACCACATATATTAAACTGTGGTTCACAAGTCCTGGGATTTCTAAAGCTATACAAAATGTTATTTCTAAATGTGTTGTGTGCCAGAAGAACAACCCTAGGACAGATCCCCATCAAAAGAAAGAAGGGAAACAACACCAAGCGCAGGGCCTGCTTGAAGACTGGCAAATAGACTTTACCCAGATGCCAAAGGTCTGAAGGTGGAAATATTTGCTAGTTTTTGCTGACACCTTTTCAGGATGGGTAGAAGCCTATCCCACTAGAATGGAGAAATTCTTGGAGGTTGTGAAAGCCTTACTGAAGGAAATAATCTCTCACTTTTGCCTCCCTGGCAGCATAGAAAGTGACAATGGACCTGCTTTTGTTTCAGAAACCACATAGGTTAGTAAACTTTTAGGAGTAAAGTGGAGACTCCATACAGTATGGAGATCTCAGGCCTTTGGGAAAGTAGAGAAAATGAATCACACCTTGAAGAAAAATGTAGCCAAGTTGTGTCAAGATGCTCATCTTCACTGGGACCAAGCTTAAGGGTGGCTTCTTAAAGTGGGATTCAATTGAGTCTTTATGAAATTGTGTATGGCCGACCATTTCAGGCTATGATTGGGGTGGGAGTTATGTATATAGATCAAGAAGTAAAGGTTAAGAAATATGTACAATAGTTAAGTCAGACCTTAGCTATAATTAATGACCTTGCTTGTATTAGGGACTTCTCCTCCACACGTTTGCTACATTGAAGACAAGATGCTACTCAAGACCTGAAAGAGGGGATCTCCAGAAAACCAACTATGAAAAAAGTAGACTGGACCTTGGGACGTCAACCTGATAATTCAAGTTTCAACCTGATAATTCACAGTTCCTAGAGCAAAAATTAAAGCAAGTAAATAAAACAAAGAGAGGGATTCTTTGGTGTTGATTTGTCTAAACTAACATCATGGCTGGCTAGTATTACTGGTATTAGAGAGGCATTAGTTGTTTTTACTTTTTTTCAGTTTTTTCAGTATCATAACTTGCTGTTGCATACTATGTGTCCCCTTATGTAGATCTGCAATTAACAGAATTCCTAGGCCCCTTACCAGATGGTCTTATGCTAAGATATGTACTCAACAGCAAAATGAGTACTTTCATATGAAACGGAGCTCACAGATACAAGATAGTTTCTTGTGGGGGAATGACAGAGTAATTGAAAGGTGGAAAATTTTAGTTTAAGTAATAGCTAATAAGCTTAGAAATTAATGCATGTAAAAGCTATTGTTCCAGTAACTGAAGGTATGACCCACCTTGACTCCAGAATACTATGAGCAGTTCCACCTTTGTGCCTTAGGACTGTAAACAATTCAAGATGGTATCTGAGCCACTGTACTCCAGAGTAAGATGACCACCACCAAAGGCCACTACCCAGGGCAAGGATTCTGCAGTTTAAAAAAAAATCCAATTAACTTTTCCCTGAATTCCAAACCCTTTACCTACACTTTGTTCTCCTTATAAAAAGGGCCATTTAAAAATGGAATTTAAGATGGTCTGTTAGCATACAAACCCACCATCATCTCAGACTGCCGAGCACTTGAATAAAGCACTCATAAAGATTCAATCCATGTTTCTCCTTATTAGGTCTGGTAGGTGACAGGCATTTCGGTTTTTCCGGTTTCAATATGGTTATATTACTAAGCATTTTCAAGTTCACTTCCCAATCCCCTTTCCTATTGTAAGACTTTCGTCTTCAAAATGAGAAAGGCACTTTCCTACTCAGGCCCTAAAGGTTTTTTCCACGGTCCCCTGTCATTGCCAAAGGACTTTCTGGTTCTCGATGCTAGAAATTCCACCCTCTCCTAGCGCTGGAATCCCTGGGCCAACCGCTGCCACTTGGTAGGGCTCCCACAATCAAGGCTACTCCTTCCTCAGCTGATTCTCAATTTCCTCCGTTTCTTCTCAACATTTCTATGCGTGGACATTTTATTTCTTCAAATGCTCCAAGCTAAAATTCTCATCTGGCTCAAAATCTTTCTTACCTTTTCGGCATGAGAGCAGATATTAAATGATTGATTCATTAACGCAATCAAAACATTCACTTAGGCAATTTGAGTACACACCGCTCTCGCCCAGGGTGAGGGTGTGTGGGTGTAGTTGTGCCTGCCAGACGGTAGACGGACGAGCAAGCCCTCCCCCTATTTTTCACGTGCTCACATGGGTACCAGGTAACCAACGGAGATCACTACGCCTGCGCCTGGTTACTGAAACCCTCGGCGCTGAAGCCAGCTCCCTTCCCCAAGCTTACTTTCTCTTTGGGGTTCACGATTATAAGCATTTGAATTCCTACAGTCTACTCAAATACCTCTCTCTCCGAAACGTGTCGTTTAATGGTGGTAACCGCCTTACTACACAGGCATTTCACCAGGAGGGAAGCGCTGATAAGGTACCAGGCGGTTACAATCCGAGTCCTCAATCACATCTGGGTCAAAGCTGGAAAGGCGGAGCTGAACCCGGCTCTCAAGCCACGTGATCTAGCCGGCTTTCGGGATCCACTGCGCGGCTGGAGGCCTGAGCCATTGGCCCCACCCCCGAAAGCCCTAGGGCTCACTTTAGGGGGCGGGCCCAAGGCGCATGCGCCGTGGCGGCTACCAGACGAAGGCCTTGGCTGGTGCAGTACAAACGTTTCCCTACCGTCTACGTCTTGACGCTGGGGTGAGTGCCGGCGCGGTCTGGTTGAACGTCGGGCAGGTAGTGTCTGGGCCTCGCTTGGTTCCCCAGGAAGTCCCTAGTCTCCGGTCTCTGTCTTGGAACCCGGCTGCGCCGGTGGCCGGGAGCAGGCCCTTTCGTCCAGAGCGCGCCTTCCTTGGCCGCTCACCTGCAGTCGGAAGTGACGTTGAGGCGAGCGCTCACCCAGGCCGCGGGGGCCGCCGACTCTGGTTCGGCTTGGGATGGGTGAGCCAGCCAGGGGGCATCAGCTTCTTGGCTTTGTGTCAGGACCCCGCGCGCAGAGGGTCAGCTTGGCCCAGTTTGATCTCGATTTAATACTAGAGTGGTAACTCTAGAAATTCTTGAGAAACAAGATGGGGCAAACTACAAGTCAGGTTTTGGGCATCGATGGTTGTCAGTGTTGTGAAGGAGGATTGAATAGTTTGTTAGTGCTGTAACAGTGATTTCTTACGTAGCATCCATCTTCACTGCTGTCGCCCTGTACCACACTGCTGTCCCTTTTCACCCGTGTGTCCCATCATCATCTTGTTGCACTGTTTCCTCCAATCCATTATCGATACAGCAGCCCACAAACATCGCTTGGGTCCTGCTCTCATCGCCGTCTTTAAAACTCTTCAAAGTCACATACCATTGCACTTGTAGTAAAATTCAAACTCACTTATAACCCAGGCCCCCTAGACCTTGTCCTCACCTAACTCTCGTTTTCACTTAGGCCCGCCCCTCAGCTCTGTGTGTGTGCAGCCAAACTGCCAAACCAGAATCCAAGTCGTGTTCCACAGAAACCCCAGTGCTCAAAGGGGACGACAATGAAGATATTGTTTTTCAGATGATTTAAACCTTGCAGAATGTTAGAAGATTTGCAGATGAATGAACTCCTTATCAAGTTCTTTAATTCAGTATTTATGTAAAATAAATTCTCACTGTGCTCACTTCTTCCATTTTCCCAAAAGCACCAGCGTTAGAAATTACATATATTGTTTCTTTGCTTTGCAAAAAACATTCACTCTACTTGTGGCCTAATTAACTCTTATTTATTCTTCAGATACTGCCTTAAATATCAATTTATCAGATAAGCCTCCCTGACCTCACACCTGTCTTCACAGTGTTAATTAATTAGGTTCCTCTGTTATTTTGTCATAAGGAATCCTGTGCTTTCCTTTTATAACAGTTAATGACATTTGTGTGTGCACGTGTGTGTGTGTACAGGATGGGGCAAATGTAGGCTTATAGTTGTGAGTGCATGAAACAGTTTATTCATGTATTATATATTTTTCCATATGAACAACTGTAAACCTACTTTTGCCACCCTTATATATTTTTTTATATATAATTCTTAAAATATGTGTCTTCTCCTAGAGACTAAGCCCTATGGGGACTGAAACTAGCACATTGCCTGGTGTAATTGACTCTCAATAAATATTTGTTGAATGGATGATTTATTTCACTTCTGAATCTCTTAACCTTCTAATAAGAATATTCTGGTTTTCAACTCTCACTCCAGGAATTGTGTTCTTTGGTCCACAGACTCCAGCCAAGTAGTTTCTTGATGTCTTCCTTTCGATCTTCATTCTTCCTCCCTCCCCGTCTCCCTTCTTTTTTTGTTCTCCCTTCCTCCTCTAGTCCCTTCTGGTTTTTTATTTTTTATTCTGCACAGCTTGGGCCCCAGAGTCAGTAACTTAAACTGTTCTCTTCCTTAGCATCTTTATCGCACACCCATCTGTCCTTTTGCTACTTTTGCTCTGAAAACCCCAAACCACTGTTTGGGGTATTTCCCCTGGAATTGTTAATTACTGAAGAAGGAAATTTTACAGCCTTGAAGATTGTTAGCAGTGGTTAGTGAATATGGTTTGGGGTGTCCAACTTTAGATAGGCCCTCCACACCTGTCACCATTGTGTGTTCCAGTCAGCTTTTCTCTTCTACAGGACATTCATTCCAGATTCTTATGCTTCATCCCCCATCCAAAGACTGTCCCCTGACTCATGAGATGCCCAAACTTCTACCTGATATTTTCTTTAAGGTTCACCTCAGTTTCTCTTCCTCTGTACTACAATTTAAGTACATCAGAAGTCATCCTCTACCAGAATTGGAGAAAGCTGTGTTGTGCCTTTTGTTTACTTCTATACTTTTATCTTTTCCTGTTTCTGACTTTTGTACAATGTTCTGTGTAGGTTATCTCCCAACTCCCTCTCCAGTTATTACATTTTATAGTTTTTCTTGATCTAATTTTCCTCTCCCAACCCATTATTTTATCATTCCAGATGTCTCTCTTCCATAGGCAAGACCCTTAGAGGGTAGGCTACCCACTTGTGGCCTCTGTTTCCTCACCTACTCATTTCTTCATTTGCTATAGTTGGTTTTTGTACCCGTTGCTCCACTGAATTTTTTTTTTTACTGAGATAACTAATGACCTGCTAATTCCAAATTCTCTGGACTCTTAGTTTCCTTATGTGAACTTGGCATAATCTTTTCTTTTTTAAAAGATTTCACTTATTTACTTTTAGAGAGGGGCAGACTGGGTAGAGCAACATTAATGTGTGGTTACCTCTTGCACATCCCCTGCTGAAGACCTGGCCCACAACCCAGGCATGTGCCCTAGACTGGGAATTGAACCAATGACCCTTTGGTTCTCAGGTGGGCACTCAATCCACTGAGTCACACCAGCCAGGGATATTTTCTACTTTTAACTATTCCCTCTTCCGTTTCTATTAGAAGTTTTCTGCAAACATCATTATTTTAACCTCCTCTTTATTCTACAATATTACTACTTAGTATATTTGGTTGAATTAATGTCTTTTTTAGCCAAAAAAGAAATCCTAGCATACATACAAATAAGAAAAATGAAAATGATTAAGTTCTAGCTAGTATTAAGAATCTGAGGCAGAATCCTGCCTTCTCTGTTGAAAGGGGAAGACTAGTTAATGATGGCACACTAAGCTAATTCTCCTGAAAATATTCAGAAGGACAAAAAAAGGAGGAAGTTTCTTCCTCTGTTGTCTACTTTTAACCATTTCAATGTTAGCTTCCTCTTACCCTCTTAAAGGATCTCTGGTACTTGTCATATCCTTGGGATTCCTGGCTGTCCACTTTAGTGATGCGTCCACATTTCTTTCTCCTGAGCCCAGATTTGCACTTCTCACTGCATTTTGGACATATTGCTGGGCAGTTTGTAAGCTCCCTACCAGCCCATCTCCCTGGTCTGTCTGCTTTCTTACAGAGATTTCATTTTTGTGATTGCATTCACCAGAGACTCAGTTCCAGGACAGACTTGTTATTTCAGACTCCTCTCTGAATCTTCCTTTCAGCATATATTGAGCACAACCTGTGTACCAGACCCTGGGACAGGTGTCCAAATCTTAGCCTGTACATGTTTTTTGAGTTCCACACCCAATGCTGACTTTTTTTCTGTTTTCACGTGGCCTCTTGTCCATGTCTCTTCTACATTTTGTCCCACTGTGTTGTTTTTGATACTCTTCTCTGCTAGAGAGTGAGCCTTTCAGAGTAGGGCAATGCTAAGTTCTAGCATCTCTCCCAGTGCATGGCCTCTGGGACCATTTTGTTTAATGAGGAATAAGTGGGGCTTAGTGGGGGAACTTGTGGTCATTTCATAGAAACAAAGTTTCAGTGCTGAAGGAAACTTTAGTTTATCCACAGTTAAAAGCAGGGCTATCTCTTGACCACTGTGTTGCTTAATAATCTATTTATTATAATTATACAGGCAATATAGTGAATACATTTTCATTCAAGGAGTTCCTGACTACTTGAAATGTGAAAGTTTCTCTTTATTCTTCCCTGCACTGTCTGCTTCCCCCTCCCAACTATTGTAGGTTTAGTGTATATCTGTAGATCATTTTGAATGCACTACATACATACAGATGCAAATAAACTTTTTTTTTTTCAATATAAATGTGTTTAGACTATGTGGCTTTTTTCCGTTTACAAGAGTTATATCAGTACCACTGAATATGCTTGATACCTATATTAAACTATTAAACATGCCATGGTAAACATGCTTGTGCATATCTCTAGAATAAACACCTAGTCGTGTACATTTTAAACCTTAATAGGTATTGCTAAATTGCCTTTCAAAGGAGCTTTACTAATTTATATTCTCACTAGCATTGTGTGAGGGTGTATCTTTTTTGTCTGTACTGGATAGTATCCAATTTTATGTTTTTGCCAACCTGATGGGTGAGAGATTATATCACACATTGAAATGGAGTTATTTTTTGAGGATATTTAAATTTTTCTGAGATTCCAACTTGAGTGGAGCTATGATTATCTCTTGTTCAGAGTTTTCTGTTTATTGGAGTACATGTTCAAGCCAAAAGTTTTCAGTGTCAGATTCGTATAAAAACCTCTCTTTTTATATCACTAAATCTATATATTACAGTTGATCATACTCTGTAATGTAAATTATTTGTGCCATAATGCAACGAAGATGCTAACTTGGAGAACATTAGCCAGATGACTTCAATTGATTTGGAGAAGACTCTAGGTGTCATTCAGGATTTTGGTTACCAGCTTTTTTAGCTGGCTACCCAAATGTCCTCTGTTGATGATGGTGCATTTTTTCTTCTGGGGTTTTCTTTTGGTTAGTTTTTCTTACTTATTATCAGAACTCAAGAAGATATATAGCTTTTAAGAAAAGTCATACTTTGAAACTTGAATTTGTATGATTGAAGGATTGTTACTTGACCTTTTGAGAAATCAGTCTGCTTCATAAAATATTTAAGAAATTGTGTAACTATCAATTCTATATAAC